CATCCAGATACCACGTGTTTCAGAATCTCACACGCCGCATGCCTTGCATTGGCCGTGAAAATAGTTCTATGTCGCCATGTGGGCCATAAGGAAATTTATGCCGGACACGAAAGCCGATCCTCGCCCGCTAGGTTTACGTTGACCAGTGCACGGGGAATTCTCCGTTTGTACCGAACGGGGTTTCCTTGTTTGTATCGCACGGGCCACGCTCAAACTTTTCCGGAATTGACCAATCAGAGCATCCATGTGCTCTCTCCTCGCGTCCTTTTCCACAAGCAGGACGGTTTCAGTTTATCGAGGGCATGGGCGATAAGACAAGTTTGGCTTATCTGTCTAGAATGCCCCCACACACATTGCAATGGACATCAAAGGCAGATTATTGTGGGAAACACTAAAGTAGCCCAGCCCTACAAAATTAAACAAGGTGTACATTTCATATTCAAGTCAAAGAAACGTAGAAATTATTCAGCTGTAAACAAGGCTGATATGTCCAGCGCAAAACATTGACACGTTTCACAATCAAAGTCACACAAAACAACCACTGAACAGGCCGGGTGGTTACAGGGGAGAATGTAAGTCTTCTATAAAGTCTGCTTTAAGATGAACGATCCGAAATGTGAAGTCGTCATCAGGACTCCAAACACGGAAGGTTCTATATATAAAATACACTCCGGATCCTACCATAATTGTATATGATACCTGTCAACGCTCCTGTTTAAAAGTGTGCCCTAAATAAAAGCACGTATGAACTCACCGTTTTGGGAGTCTGTTATCGCTGGTGGAGAGGAGAGCAGTTGTTCTCAGTGGTCCGGGGTACGGCCACGCGGGTACGGCCTCGTCTGCGGGCTCATCTCGTCTAACAGTAGAAGCGTTAGTTGAATACGTTCAGGGGTCCAGTTGTAAGTATTGTTGATACGGCAAATGAGCTCAAATAAGTCAAATAGTTTGTCAGTTGGTACAACGAAAGTTTAGTACGTCCTCGCGGGTAGCTGGCGACCGACTGAATGAATGTATGGTGCCTCGTGCACGGACCACCCACTGAACCCAGAGGTGGTCAGCCAGACAGATAGGTTTGTTGCTATGGCAACTGTCGCGACGGACTTACTGGGAAATAGTCTCCCTTCCGGTTTACAGCAAAAACCCTAGGCTATTTTGCAGGGCAAAGGGCCTTTAGCTTCCAAACTCACGGAATGACAGAAAAGCATGTGCCATCCTACATGTCCTACAGTTTTGGAAAAAGGTGATATGTAAATATTAAAAAAAAAGAAGAGAGATAGCTAGTCTTCTGCACGATTATCTTATGAAAGAATATTTTATGCAAAGTCATCTTAGTTTGCTTGTGAGAGAGGTATAACTATATTTTATTTCATTTACTGTATCATAATGTTGTGTAGCGTGTTCATTTTTTTCTCTACAACTATGCCCTGAACATCTGCTTGGAGATTTCGCATACAGTAAAATCCGACCAATACAATTTCCAAGTAGATACAGGGACCTAATGTTTGTTTTACTAATTTTCAGTAAGTCTGCAAGCATTCACTCGAATATCAAACAATGGAACAGATACAGAGAAAGGGACAACCCCAACTATACCCACGAACATCTGCTTGGAGACTTCGTAAACAGTAAGATCCGACCGACACAATCTCCAAGCAGATACAGGGACCGAATGTTTCTAGTAATTCTGTGTAAAAAATCATCTGAAGATCAAACAATGGAACAGATATAGAGAAAGGGACAACCCCAACTATACCCTCCCCCCGAACATCTGCTTGGAGACCTCGTAAACAGTAAGATCCGACCGACGCAATCTCCAAGCAGATACAGGGACCGAATGTTTCTAGTAATTTTGTGTAAAAACCATCTGAAGATCAAACAATGGAACAGATACAGAGAAAGGAACAACCCCCAACTATACCCTCCCCCGAACATCTGCTTGGAGACCTCGTAAACAGTAAGATCCGACCGACACAATCTCCAAGCAGATACATGGAACAGATTTTCTAGTAATTCTGTGTAAAAAATCATCTGAAGATCAAACAATGGAACAGATATAGAGAAAGGGACAACCCCAACTATACCCTCCCCCGAACATCTGCTTGGAGACCTCGTAAACAGGAAGATCCGACCGACACAATCACCAAGCAGATACATGGAACGGATTTTCTAGTAATTCTTTGTAAAAAAAATCATCAATGGAGCCATATTATATTCCAACGTTATCTCAACGGGCGCGACCTACTCATAGTAATTGTTATCCTTTACCCAGACTAACCAGAGTATCTACTAGGGGATGTGTATATGACGATATTTATGTTACCGACAGTTTAGAAATTATTTGTGTCTGTGGCGTTCCGAGCGGAGCATTGACTGTGTTGTACCGAAGTAGGCCGTGCAAAGTAACGGTCTCCGCTCTCGGCCACGATCGTATCATAGTTTGTATACCTATATTTTCGTCATGTATCCAGGGAAAACACCAATAATTCGTTTATTCAGTGACCCATAGCGTAAATACTGCAATGTGCATTGAAATGTTATCCGGGAAACCTCTCAGTAAGTGTCGCCAGAGGACACGGGCACTGATGAGACTGCGATGCCGGTTACGTTACTACACGGTGTCCAGACCCGACATTCACCGTACGGGTCGGGGTATCGCTTGTCGGTGCAAGGATGCTGCCCGTAAATTATATACACTATTGTATACACTATTATACAATGCCATACTTGTTGCTCTGAATGTGTGGGGGGCAATGGGCCTTAGATATTGAAGTATTACGCAGCGGAGCTCTCCGCGATGTGAACACCACGAAGGTTTACGTCAGACTGAGCTCCGGTTGTTTACGTTACGCCTTTTATCGGGCCAGGTCACCGTTAGTTATATAGTGCAATCTAACACAATAAACAGAAGAGACATTTCTTGTTTGGCGAGATATGCAACCTTTTATTCTGTTGTATCACAAACCATAGTATCAACACGTGCGAGGCATGATGTAGGATAGAGATTGTCTCAAATATATTAACATGTGTCTCATGTCAAAAACCGGACCGAAACACGCCTAACTGCGTGAAAGAAACCAAGACCACGTGCGTGTGCGAACGAAAAGGGGAAACCAGCCAATCGGGCACAAATTGTGTCGGAATGAGAAAGGAAAGGGGTTCACAAGGGACAAGCGAACACGTTTTAAATGTGCTTTAGCTGGCGGTCTAAAGCACCGCGGACACTCTTGTAATACTGGAGGTTTCCCAGATCGGACAAGTGTAGGCCGGCAGGCGCAAAGTAGTTTGGGTTGTGTCTCCACAGACGTCTGTGGTCCCATACTGTGACCTTGGGGTAGCTCTGCACAAGTCCCTCCAACGCCTCCGTGAATTTGTGAAGGCGCTGAGGAAATTCAGACATGTTAGGTGGAATATGGAGACGCCAGATATCTGGGGAACCTTGGACGAGCGCCCGGTCTGCTTTCTGGTGGAGACCCACTCAGTGTACACGTGGCGTGTCTATCATATATGGCAATACCTATTAAAAATTTCATCCTTATTTGGTAATACTTGCGTCAGATACCATTCTTTCCTAATAACTATACCTTACTCACGTACTTCCTAAATAATCAAACATAAATCCATACGAATGTGAGTTACAGCCCAGGGTACACATTTCATTCGTTGATGCATGCATCATATTAGCACCCTCAAAAACAAACAATACAACTTCCTACATACAATACGGTGTTAAAAACACACACATTTTAAAATACTAGTAGTACTAAAACAACAATCCGTTATAAGAAAAATTCCTTTTACTCAAGCTATATCAAAAGGGTTACAAATTTATACTATTATATTATTAAAATACTCACGTCGCCGGTGTGTTTTTTAAACACCGCCCTTGTTCATATTATGTCTGCGATTGGTTTTTTTCAGCGACTGTAACGCCAAGCGTGGCGCCAACAGCCAATCAACGTCGTCGATCCATCTCAGAGGAGGTCGCACAGGAAATCGACATGCCGAAGATGACGTCATCGCATCTCCGGGCAGACGACGAAAGATACGATCCTCGCCGAGATTTGCCGACGAAGACCGACAAGAAAACTCATCTTATGCCATTTTTGGTAACAAAGAGAAAAAAGCTGGCGGTAGAGGAAGATGCCAGGAGGCTTCCATTGAAGATAGACAAAAAGACTTCAAGAAAAATATCAAAATTCCAATTCAGGAAGAAAGACGCTCTACCATAGAACTGTTAATGAATGATATTCATAATGGCCCTAATCTATTCGCATGGTAATACATGTAACAATATCCCTCTCGATTTATGAAGGAATGATGATGTATCAAGAGATATCGATGCATTTATAAATCAAACAATTTACCAAATTATTGTATGTTTCCTAGTCTCTACCAGGCTTCAGAAGTAGTGGTTGGACCAACTCCCTTGGCATGTTATCTGTCTATTTGGCTAATGAATACTCTTTTCAGTCTCTTATATGAAGCCTGATAGAGGCTTGTTTATGTCCCCTAGATGCATGTACAGTGTGTGAATACTACAAAAAGATAATGTTTTCAATAAGGTATGACTGTGGAATGGATTGAAAGTAGCTCTACATAATGTACCTATCTTTACAAAATGTCTATGGTATACATTATCATATGTAGCTAAAACTGAAGCTTGAAATATGAAAACATTGCCAGAGTTCTATGCAGTTTTTTTATCTGCATCTGATATTAATATTTCATATGGGATATCAAAATGATGGATGTTTAAAATGAATGCATGCATCATTAAACGTCACATTTAAAAAGAAAATATTTAGTTTCATTTGTAACCTGTGTCGGTTTGTGAAATCTCCCCACAGCGGTGAAACCCGGTACTGCAGATTAGGTTCTGGAAGGATTCAGGAGGTGGTAAAATTTTCAGTGACGTATCTACTGACCTTGGCATGGCTTATCGTTTTACTGCACACGATTCTGTTTTGACGCTTGGTTATGTATGTATTGTTATTATTGTATTCCCGTTTCACTGTTTGTTACAGGGCATGAATGTGGGGTCGTGTGGCGCAGCGGTGGCGCTTTCGGCTCAGGACCTAGAGGTCCTGGGTTCGATCCCCACCCATGTCACCGATCTTGTGCCCTTGGGAAAGGCACTTTACACAACTTTTCTCACTTCACTCAGGTTTAAATGAGTACCTAGCCTCGGTTAGGGCCGTCCCTCGGATAGGACGTTAAATGGAGGTTAGACATTTGTGGAGAGACATACCCCGCGCACGTACAAGAACCCACCACACCTTTCGAAAAAGAGTAGGGGCATGCCCCGGTGTGCGATGGTACAAAAACTAACACTGTCTGGGATGGAGGCCTGGCGAACCCCATCTCGTACTATCCACAAAAGGCAGCAGAAACTTCAGTTAGTTGAAGGCGGCTGCCTCAAATGAAAGAAAAAGAAGAAGATGCCTGGAAAGCAGTGTGTATAGCACTCAGTGTGTCCACCCTGTCTAAACAAAACTGAAATAAATAAATACTACAGGAACGGTTTGGGAACGATCTTGAGGGCGTGAAATGTGAGAACATGTTGCACAGGTCATGCTATGGTAGGAATGATGGGAGCCATAAAGCAGTTGAAGGAATTGTGGGCATTAACCGACATTACTTCTACAAATAACACTATGCTACGTACTTGTCTGATGCAGTATTAGATGATCAGTTGTGTGTCAGTAAATGGTGTCGCGTGACAATAAATGGGTATAATTAGACCCGAGCTCATGTAGTTGGTAACATATAAAATTACGTTGAATCCGCAAAATTGCCGCACCAACATTTCACAGTCGTGAAGAGGCAGCCCAGTGTCTAGTGTATCGTGATTTGGACCGGCAATCACTTCGGGGCTGCAGGAGCTCATTGCCGCCCGACTCAAATAGACTCCCCGGAAGATTTTGTACGACGGGAGTTCAGGTATGGTGCTTCTGGGGGAGACACCCAGTAATATTCCTCGTATAAATATTGTTTTTATCTGTATTGCGATGTCAATGATCTTAGATATTTTAAGCGAATCAATATAGCTTGCCAATTTGTACACGAGTCTGTCAATTCAGCCTGTTGGCTGCCATTGGACTTGTCTTTGATTTTAATAATTAATTGCAAATTCAAATTCATGCCCGAGGGCTAATTGCAAGAACATGATAACAACAAATAAGCAGTAAAAATGATAATAAGTAATGCTAATGCTACTTTAGATATACATTACTAATTATTGTTGGGTTTGATTTCTTTTCCGTGTGCAGTGTAGTATGAAATTGCCGACATTTTGCAAGATATATGAATTGGAAGGTCTTAATAGAAATGCAGTTTTTTTGTAGGCTGGGAAGATGAGTAAACATTTTGGTGACCATTTCAAATAACTTATCTCAAACCAGTCTACTAGGTAGCCATGGCTCCATACTCGTGGCTGGCAGTCCTGGCGTTTGCTGTGGCATTTCTAACGCAGATTGGTCTCTGTCAGGACGACGATACACCACAGGTGAGAGGAGGCAAGATCTAACTTTTTATTTGGAATTTTGCGAGCGGATGTGTAGCTAACAAGGCTGTCAAAGCACATCTATTCATCTCGATCAAATAGAGCCACTCCTCATGTAACATAGACATGGACATCAAATACACTGTAATCCGTTCATGTAAATGTATAATTTTTCATTCATATTTTCCTAACTTGTCATGAAAGTATATTTCCCATATTTTCCATCTAAAAATTCTCCGCTGTATCCTGTAATATAATGGTATTTTCTTATATATATATTACTAAGTACTTCTCTCAATTTGCTTACATTTCGATGTCTATGAGTAGTATTGATTTCTGGGAGAGGAGAGATAAAACAAACACATAATATATCCCTAATATTATATCAAAACACAATATACATCAAAACATAACAAAGCCACAAGATATTTTCATGGAGGGATGATATCTACGACTTCTTGTTTTCGGATGTATGCTGCAGTGTGTTACCGGGCCGGCAGGCGTACCAGGAGTTCCCGGGAGTAACGGCGTCCCTGGCAGTAACGGTGTCCCCGGCGCCCACGGCGTCCCCGGAGAGAAGGGAGACCCAGGACCCCCTGGCGTGACGGGGTTTCCGGGGGCTTCCGGTCCATCGGGTCTGGTGAACTTGAAGCAGTGTATCTGGAACAACCTCAACAATGGCACTGACTCCGGGAAAATTGTGGTATTTAGGCCACACCAATTTAATTTCTTGGTTCTCGGAAAAAATATGAAGCAACTGGGCGACACAAAGCTTTTGTGATTTTTGTCAAAATTATTTCTTCAAACCATGGAGCTTCAGGTTCCAACCGACGACTTCGACACGGTTGCACGACGGAACGGATGGGGATAGTTTTAGATTTACCATATGATGTCGCCCAAATAAGCCAAGAAGCTTAAAAAAACATACGGTGGGGAAGTAAATTTTATTCTCGTTCGCTACCGCAACGTAGTTTTGACTTCTCTTTGTCACGGTACAATGATAGGCGTCCACTTGGGGGAATATGAACTTTCCCTGATAAATACGATATATACGACTGGAAAAATTCCTTGAACTGTCAAACAAAATCTTCTCAAAGGGACAGTATTGCGGTTGATTTGCATCGAGCCAACGCACTGTTGTCTTTGAAACTCGCGCCCGGTAGGAGAACAATAGGGCCACGCTGGTCGAAATTTCCATTTCACTGGCCTTCCTGGGAAGGAGGTGAGAACGAACCGCTCTGATCTCACCCGACGTCCTCATTATAACTCTAAAACAAACCCTATGTTCCACGTGAATTTTGAACTAAAACGCAGAAAATGTATTTTGAGCAATATCTCCCGATCCTATCGGTAGAATCCGATAAAAAATACACCAATCGGAAAAGTAAACATCTGGCCGCCATCTTGAAAAAAATGACGTGATTCTCTTGCGCCGTTATGGAATTATGGGAGAAAACATACTAGAAAATCGACAAAATAAGTTAAAAACTCACAGACAACAAAAATTCTACAAGAGAAATGAAATTCAAAGGTCCTAAAGTTTACAGTATGGATAAAACATATGTTTGATGCGTAAATTAGCGAAATGTAGCGGTAGGTTAAAGTTCAATGACCCAAAATGACCTCATGTACGCACATACAGTCGGCGGGAAATTTGAATTGCTTTCTACGTTGTCATTTCTTATTTTATACATATTTGGGGAGCGAACTAATTATGGGTTCACCACACCACGAAGTGGTGGTGAACCCATATTGCTTTTTCTGATGTTTCTTCTTCTTCTCCTTCTCCTCCTGCCATTTCTTTAAATGGATTCAGCTTCTTCATTTTGGGGCCTAAGGACCTGAAATTTGGTATGGAGGTACAGTAGGCAAATACCCCTAGGCGTTTTTTTAATTTTTGTGATACAGGCTTTTAGAATGGTTTTATTTGAGTTTTTTGGCTGTGTTATAGCAAATGTATTACTGAGTTAGTGTGCAGTGTTACCACATTTGGGCATGAGTCATCACAATGGAATGCAGGGCATCAACCAATAGGCATGCAGCTTTCCTCTATTCTCCTTGCTGATTGGCTGTTGGAATTTAACAGGCTTAATACCTGCACAGAGCCATTCCATACTGACAGTAGGTCTGTATTCGAGTGTTTTGGTAGGTATTTTAAGCTTTCCTGCTCCAGCATTGGAATATATGCGGGGCATGAACGCTTCTTTTTTCTTGAAAATCAACAGTTTGCATTATGCAATTAAAAATCCTAACCAATAATGTAGGGAATAGCTATCCAACTGTTGTAGTCTTAGTTGTATGTTACTTCATACTATAGTTATATCAATGTAAAGCATTGTTTTCCCTTGTGTTTCTCATTCTTTCCCTGCCATGTCGTAAAATGTGGTGAAGCCATTGCTGTATTTGCTCCAAAGCAAATGTCGGCCTTTCTAGTTTTTTTTTGTGTCTGCGTGATTCTTTTTCTAACTTCATAATCGCATCGTGCGTTATATTGGGCGAAAGTTATGTTGTTTATCTGAACACTGCCGCTGCTCACTGCGCACCGGGTTGTGGGCGGGGCCTATTTGCTTAGCAACGAGGATTTTAACATAGCAACGGGACCACCGTGGAAAAAGATAGGCCTCCTATTATATACCATATACCAAATGCTACGATAATAGCCATGAAGTCAACACACACATTAAGGCTGGGTTAATATTTAAACAATGAACTTTAAATCATAACACTGTATTGATGGATGGAAAAACTGTAACAACTGGGAAGAAAAGGACTGTCCTCAACTGATTTGGGGCAAAATATGAGAATTTTTGAGTTCATTCAGAACCAGAATCTTTTCTATTTTTTTGCAAATCAGAAAAAAAATGAAGAGGCGAATTCGAGAACAAACAACTTAAATTGGTGTGGCCTACCGTAGTAGCTGGTCATACGTGCCAGATAACTTGTGTCGCCCCCGTCTCTGTTCAGGGTAGGTCTGTGAGCTCTTATGCTATACTACGGTCACGTGTCTCTGACATCAAGTTCCAAGAGTAGACGCGTACGGGACCATTCCGTGAACAAGGTTGATGGAGTCAACCGAAAATTTGGAGCAAGTCCCATATCTGTAGTTGGAAGTTAAAGCTTAGTCTTTATTTCATAATGACACAGATGAACTTTCATGCTTAACAGGAGTGTAGTTTCGAAAAGTCGTCCACGACATCCGCCCTCCGTCTGACGTGGAACGGCGCCATCAGAGTTAAGTCCGGCAACAACGCCGGCTGCCAGCGCTGGTACTTCACGGTGAACGGCGATGAGGAGTGCGGCAATCCCGGTCCGATTGACGGCCTGATGTACACGAACGGCAACGATATCAACATTCACCGTGTGTCTACAAGTGAGTGACAAGTACTGGACATTCAATAGGATTGGGTTCCTGTAGAGTCCCAAAACCCAGGGGAGAAACATAATGAAGAGTACTGGATGATCGTTACCGAGTTTTTAAAAGAATGGATTTGAATGTTATTGCAACTGTGTCGCCGTATATGACATGGCAGAAATTGATTTTCTTTTTCCTTGTCTTTTATTTTATGTTACAGAAACATAATGCCTACAGTCACATACAACGTTAAATCTATAACAACGCTAGGAAACATGGATGTCAAAGATAAACAGCTTTAGACATGACCTACTAGTATTTGATATTTATCCTTCTGGTCATACCCAGATCATCAACAGATCAACCTGAAAGATTGGTTGATTGATCGTTCATTTGATTTATTGATTTATAGGTTGATTGATTTAAAATTCTGATTGACAGTCCTGTAACCACCGTACGGTATGATAATGCTTATTCATCATATTGCACGACAATTGTACAAGGAACAAAGTGTGGAAACTACTGGTAGATACCTACAGTTCCATCAGGCAACCTAATGCGTGTAGTATGTGATGAGAGTGGACTTAAACTATCATCGCAGGTATTTCTAACGTCTATGCCTTATTTGTGTTGATCATCTTTTCCAGTCATGAGCAAGATTAAACAAAAATTTTCAACACAAAAAATCACCCAAATTTTCGACTGTACAACTCCAGTCTTTGTCAAGGAATGAGCAATCCACCGCTTCCGTGACGTCACACAGATAACACACGTGACTACGAGAGCAGTGGATCATACATGTAGGTTGCAGAAAGTCTGTGGCGCCCCCCGTCTCTGTGAGGGATGGTGGTAATGCCCTGGTGTTGGAAATTACAGTTAATTCCTGCTCATCATGACTTCTACCAACACAGATGAACTTTTAAATATCTTTTCCAGTTGAAGGCCTGTGTTACGACATCCCCGCTGGCCTTGTGACAGTGGCGCTGAACCTCGGTGAATGCCCCGATGGTACCGCCAAAGGAGACGCCTACACCGGGTGGAACTCCCACTCGAGAATCATCTTGGAGGAACTGAACATTTAAAGGCATCCAATGCAGTTTTTAGGGCTTGGAAACCAGAATTTTCAAAGTCAATATTCTAGTCACTTATCTACGTACATGAGTTGAAACAGCACTATCCAAATGTATATTGACCCTCATATTGACCCAAAACTCATAAATTCTGACGTAAAATGGTTCCTGGAAGGGCCCTTGAGTGATTCTTAGGGTACCACCCAGAAAATAAAGGACTCATCTTGGTGCTTGTTTCTGCAGTTTTAAATACCTAAAGTATCAAATGCTGATCGAAATGTGCTAATGTGAAGCAGTATGTGTCAATATCATAAAGATTGCCATGGTCAGAATATTTCCAGTTTTGCTGCTCTGAAATCGCATTGGAAATTGATAACTAGCTGACTTCTTGCCAGTATCGCTCTGTATAATCGGTATAACCGCCATTCGGTGTAACACACAACATCGCAGGCTTGCGGCAGCTAGTTTTATTAGTGAGTTCTTTATTGAGTTCTTTATTGCAAGTTCATGCCCGAGGGCTAATTGCAAACAGACATTGACAAGAACAATGAGTACGGAATGTAGTGATATAAAACTATATGCTAACATGCTCTACGATGTACTAATCTAACTTAAATTATCTCTACTTAAACCTAATAACGTTGGCATACAAGATAAAGAGTGGATATGCAATACATAAACATGTAAGATAAACATGGTAACTGCTACATTGTATTGTATTGTATTCTATTATACTATTCTGAACACTGAACCACAAGTGTAAAAGTGGTGCACTGAACAAGATGTTATGATAAGCAAAATACTTTCTTATACAAACTGGATTTGCCAAACGAATATAATAATGGTTAGTCTAAAAAAAAACTAGAAAAAAGAAATACCATAAAAATGTAGAATAGAGCATAGGGATGGATCGAGAGTGGTGGGTGGGAATGATGTACTGCACTGAGCCGATTCGTGATTTGGTCTAGATTTGTATCAGAAGATATGGAGGCCGTCTAGGCGCATAAGCTGACTAAGAACGTATAGTATGATACTCGTATCGCAACAGTATATGAAATACTAAAGAGTCTAAGTAAGTATACAATAACTGAAGCATCTTTATATAATTACAATGTACGTTATATTACTTTTGCTATAATGAATTGCACTGTTATGGGCTTAAAGGCATTCGCAATTGTTGGAATAAAATTGTGATACTTATGAAATTGACCCTGAATACCCTTGTTAGGCCACACCGACTTAATTTTATGGATGACATCCACGCGCGCATTGATTTTCGCCTGTTCTCCAAAAAAAAAGGGATCACGTCCACCGAGGTTCTGGCCTGGCTCTAGGCATGGTAGTTAGCAACAATACGGAGCCGGGCACCCAAGCTCCACGACTCAAGAACTCAGTACATACGTACAGCAGTGCCGATTCATAAATTCCGCAAAAAGCCTGCATGTGCCGGCTTGTCGTATACGTCGCTAAGTACTGCCGCAAATTCACAATAACAGCTTTGCATTCTTGTGGTTTACTAGCATTTTTATTTTTGGCCGTTTTTTTTTATTCGTCCGCGCGCACTAGTTTGGAGGTCTTCAGAGGATGTCATCCATAAAATTAAGTCGGTGTGGCCTTATGCCAAAGTCATACCGTTGGACCTTGAGATTCACCTTCCAACGTGCCGCTGTGAACCATCTGTGCACCGCCCTGTCATCTAATGCCGTCAATGTATTATCATCAGGTGCATACTACAGTATAGACCGTGACATTCCCTTTCTAATTACATATTATGACACGTTAAGCTTGAACAAAGTTTGAATGTCACAACTACTGCGTCAATCTGATGCTATTATCTCATAGATTAAACCTGTTTTCTTATCACCGTTCCACTCTGGGGATCCGCAAAGACCTCCTGTAGATTTACAATTGGTAGCTGCTGTGTTTATTACAGTTAGGCCATGTTGATTTGATTATATGGATGACATCTGACATCCTCTGGGAACCCCAAAACTGATGCGCGCGTGCGAATAAAAAAAAGTTTTGAAAAAAAAAAGTTGCTTTCATTATGAAATCTACGTGGTCATGAAGGTTGAACAACGAACACAGAGTATGGTATGGCTAATAAATCTACTCTTCGAATTCATTTCTTTACAATTTCGTCTTGTTCGTTTGATTTTGGCATTCTACGACATTGGTATCGTTTTAAATATTTGTTTTGCAACTCACGGTATCTATTTGCTCATTTTACAACTGTTTTGCACGATTTACAGTATGGTTGAAAACTTTTTTTTTTGGTAACGGCCGAAAACTCATGCGCGCGCGGATGTCATCCATATAATCAAATCAACATGGCCTTATATATCTTTTCTGATATTTAGTTCGTTGGTAGATGTTGCAAAGTGAATGAATGCTTAGAATTTGGTCCCCCTAGCGGCTTTCTAAAGAACTGCATCGGGCCATCTGCTTTTCTGTATCGGTATAGCCGGTATAACCGCCCTTCGGCGTAACGCACCAGCGTCGATATCTCATGTTTAGATATGCTATGGTATCGTTTAGATATGCTATGATATCTCATGTTTAGACATGCTATGGTCATGAATTTTAAGAGACAGATACTAAGATTTAAATGAAGAAGATTGGTTTGGCCCCCACAGCCCATTTTCTTATGCTACAGGTGTGGGAACTTTGCCCATATCCCATTTTCTTATATTACACTTTGCCCATAGCCCATTTTCTTATACTACAGAAGTGGGAACTTTTGCTTGAAACTTTAAAGGAAAATAAAGCTTAGCTTAAACATCATTGATGGACGTAATCAGTTGCTAGGTAGGCATTTTTTTATTCTACCACAAAACCCTCGTCGTTAAAATGTCGAGAGTGGAATCTACGTGGACGTCATCCATAGAACTTACACGCCATGGCCTCTCCTTGTACGTCACTGTACCGTGACGTCATGACGTACCCGTGCGTGGAGAGACTGCTTACTGCTCAGCCGTTTTCACACGGGCTGCCTATCCGTATCACTGTCAGCCAAGATGTCCTTTCCATGTCGATTCTAAGGCCACACCGCCTTAATTTTATGGATGACATCCGCGCGCGCATTGATTTTCGCCTGTTCTCGAAAAAAAATAAAAAGATCACGTCCACCGAGGCTCTGGCCTGGCTGTAGGCCTGGGTAGTCCATGGTAGTTAGCGACAATACGGAGCCGTGCACCCAGGCTACAGAAGCTCCACGACTCAAGAACTCAGTACATGTATTCGTACAGTGCCGATTCATAAAGTACTGCCGCAAATTCACAATACCAGCATTGTATTCCTGTGTTTTAGTATCATTTTTATGAATTTTTTTATTCGCCCGCACGCACGAGTTTGGGGGTCTTCAGAGGATGTCATCCATAATATTAAGACAGTGTGGCCTAATCAACCGCATGCAGCATTCATTCTAGATCTGATCAAACAAAAGCCCAAAGTAGATAAGGTTACCCTGGTACTAGTATTGTTTGCATTATTGCTTATGTTAGGCCACACCAATTTAATTTGTTGCTTCTCGGATCGCCCTGTCCATTTTTTTTCTGATTTGCAAAAAAAAAAAAAAACAATTTTTTTCGGTTCTAAATTAACTGCAAAATGCTCAATGAAAGGCATATTTTGGCCCCAACGGTTGAAGACAGTCCTTTTCTTTCTAGTTCTTAAAGTTTTTCAATGTTACAATGCAATTTTGTTTCATTAAAAGTTCAAAATCTATTGTTTTAATTATAAACCAGCCTGGTATGTTGACTTCATAGCTCATATTGTAACATTTCCGGCTATCATGGGGTGCCTTGGCCTGTTTTTTTTTATTTCGCCCTGTCGCTCCATATTTTTTCTGAAAAAAAAAATCCGAGAAACAACAGATTAAATTGTTGTGGCCTTATAATTATATCACTTCTACAACACAGCAGTAAGAATTTTAAACGTTGACCGTTGAAGTATGAATTTTAGATTTGCATCGTCTTCTCAGCTGTGAAAGTGTGGCACATTTTCACCATTATGGCCCAGAGAACATCGTCTAATAGGTCAAAGGTCACTCGGTACGACGCATGCGGGGTAGGGCTGGCAGCTTGTAGGCTTATCTGACATTGGAACAGCCGAAGTCACCTTGCCTTGTCTCTCCCGGCCGATAATGATGGATTGCTCGCTGAAAGTGTAAATGGGCCACGTTTTTCTGGTCACTGTATTCCGTTTGAAGTGGATGGGAGCGCCTGTAACAACACTGCTTTCGTATTTTTTCGTTTGCAGCGCTAAACGAAACCCCTCCAACATTGTTTTTAAGACAAATATATATTGCTAGTTATTATGAAGATGTTTTTTGGTTTCGTGTAAACCAAACGGTGAAAACGACTGGCATAGATTCATAATGTACATGATTACACTCAGCCAGGCATTTGCGTTATCAAGAACTCGTTTATATGGTTTATAAACAACCATCAATCATAAAATGATGTATGAAAAGATGATCTAGGCCGTTTCTGATACATGATGTGGAGAAAATATCATTGCTTTGATTTTTATGAGGGGTGGGGCGGAATTGAATTAATATATTACGCTTTTAAAATTCTAGAAAACGACGAAGCCAACATGTTTAGGCTACAACAACGATGGCACGGTTCCATAGGCAAGAGAAAGTATTTCCTACCAGTTAGATGTTTAATGCCCTTTAAAGCGAAAGCTGTGATTCATTCAAAAGTTTGAAAGCTAAAAGGAACGTGAGCTACTCTGCTGAACAGAGAAGAGTAAGGCCACACCGACTTAATTTTGTGGATGACATCCTCTGAAGACCCCCAAACTAGTGCGCGCGGGCGAATAAAAAAAAAAACGGCCAAAAACAAAAAAAGCTAGTAAACCACAAGAATGCAAAGCTGTTATTGTGAATTTGCGGCAGTACTTAGCGACGTATACAACAAGCCGGCACATGCATGCAGGCTTTTTGCGGAATTTATGAATCGGCACTGCACGTATGTACTGAGTTCTTGAGTCGTGGAGCTTGGATGCCAGGCTCCGTATTGTCGCTAACTACCATGCCTAGAGCCAGGCCAGAACCTCGGTGGACGTGATCTTTATGTTTACCAAAGGAAAACATATTGTTTTTACTCAGTTTCTTCCTCCTTCTCTTCTGTTCCAAACACTAACCTCTGACCTGGCCAATGACATGATTTGTTGACGTCTGTCACCATGGTGACTGGTGTTGGGTTACATAATGTTGCAATTTCATGGTCTTCTCTACTCCTGTCACCATTTACTCATAGTTCATGCATGTGAATGTGTTTGAGTAAAAGTTAACAGGGCAGACCAGGTCCAAAGGTAAACATAAATGTTACTTATCTAGTTTTTTTTTGAGAACAGGCGACAATCAATGCGCGCGCGGATGTCATCCATAAAATTAAGTCGGTGTGGCCGAACTGTAATTAAGGTTTCACGTTGCATGACTAGTATCGATTTTGTCTGTGCTTGGTGATTATGTTTGAATTGTGACGTCATGTCTAAGGGATTGGTAATGAAACTCCGCATTTCCCAATTAAATCACAGCCTTGTATTTTATCAATAACATGTGATTTTTTTCTTTAAAAAAAATTGTATCTACCGTACCATGTTTGCAACGAATTAGTTGAAAATGATATTTATTTCGATTATGGATCACGATTATGATTTTGACATTTTGGTTTGTATATTTCTGTTCTGCCCTTTATATATGTTGTATCGTTTGTTAACTTTTCAGTTATACTGATTTTCAGTTATACTGATCTCTGTTTATTTTTCTCAGGTATGTTACTTGATTGTATAATTTAGGTTTATACAAATTGCTTTATGTTGTGTTAATGTTATGTTATATTGTTTATGTGTCCCTGGGCCCTTTTGGAAATCAACAATTTCACTGTTGTAAAGGCTACCCAGGTGTTTACAAGATGAAATAAATAAATAAATAAATAAATAAATTTCAATTCATTGAAATTCTGTTTGTCAACATTCGCGGGTCACGAGGTCACAATGTTATAATGTCTATAAACATATCTGAAGTATATTTATATTACATATACGTATATTTAGAAATCATGGCAGCGTAAAATTGGCTTGTCATAATTGATAACGCGAAACTAATTATTCATAGAATGTCAGGGCATGCTCATTACCAACTGCACGCCGAGTTTTGATTTAGTTCAGTAATCCCTGTTCTTTGTGTTGTGATGGAACATTAATTAACGCATTGCCCATCCCTGGTGCGGTTTAGTCTATATTTACAAGCTACTGAACTCTCACGTTAGCAGTAATTCTGCTCCTCTTGACTGAGAACGTGCGCTATCATCGCCCCCATCCCACTTCTAGGCTCCGGCGTCCTTTGCATCCGAGCACGTGAGCAGGCTTCCGATCCGGCGGGCACCGCTAGATCACTCACACGCAGTGGAAGCAAGAGGCACTGCAGGGAGAGGGGGCACAGGGAGATCGTACACCCGCGATATCATTACGTGTTCGTGCCGTTCACCCAGGTACAGTTCGCCGTGCCTCCTGGGGAAAACCTGGCCTCCCTGCACGCCGGATGTACCCGACGTTTCGTCACATCCACTGCACACAGAGCGCCGTGCCGTGTGTGATATAGGGTGCCGGTGCATTCTGTTCGATCTGTCATTGTACCGGCCAGACTACCGCACGAGCGAAGCACAGGCAAGGACAGGCGAAGGAAACAGCTAGCTGCTACCTTGGACGCCGCGTACAAGCATGCGGGAAACGGCGAAGGAGATGCCAGAAAAGAAGGGGAGGGGCAAAATCAAGATGGACAACCTGGAAATTCCACCTGCCGAAACATCTCCTAACCTGGACCCGGGTGTTCTGACGCCGGGGGACGTCTGTCTGCCCGGGTTTGTGACACAGAACGGCACCGATCACACAGCAGAGACAACCAGCGGGCCCAAAACCCAGTCGCGGCGGCCAACGGAACTAAACGTGAGCGACAGCTCTCTCAAGTCTTCCCGAGCGCGAGTGCCAAAGGCCTACGAGAACACCTCGGCCAAACAGGCCACGACTGCGGTCGTACACATCCCGGAGACCCGGAAACTACAGTACCTCATGCCGCCGGAGCCGCATCCACCGATCGTTAAACCACAGAGAGCCAACGACTCAGGGGTGGAGAGTTGCGAGAGTGAACCGGGCACGAAATTAGGAAGTACGCAAGAACCTCAGAAACCTATCGTCTTCACATTCGAGGTACCTTACGCGTTGGTTCAGCAGCGGTACGACCAGCCGCACTTGGTTGTTTTTGACAGCGATGAAAACAACAAGGACGACGCGCAAACACAAAAGACATCCGGTACCGAGAGTAAAGAGTCTGTGGTAACTGTGGGTAGCCGTGGTGCTGGAACGCGATCCAAGGAGCGCAGATATTGTGACGGCTGCACGCTTACCATAGTCCTGATTGTCATCATCGTGGTGGGAAACATCATTGGCGCTGTGTACGTCTACCACAAGTATAACATGATCAACAGCAGTTTACCAGGTACGTAATCCTTCTACTTCCTCAAAGAAAATCAAACTATTATGATGCACAGTGCTCCAAAACTTGTTCAGGATTCGGCAACACCTGCGATACCCAGAAGTATCTTTCAGACACTGTCCATTTATTTCTCCCTATATTTATGTACATGTAGGAGTAGAAATGTAGCTATAGGCTAAACAGAGGCACCGTAGTTGTGAAGCAACAAATTTTCCCCGGGCCACGTGTTGTCACAGGCTTCCTGTCTTTTGCGTTAAAGGGAGAGAGAGTTGTCAAGACATTTGTAATGGAACCTCCGGTCAGCCTTGATGCAAAAGCACGTGGCATGGTGAGTTTTCTTCATTGAAGTCTACTCAGTCGATGTCCGTGCTTCTAGGCTTATCTGTACCCATACTTAGCGAGTTTTCTTTATTCTAGTTGTTGAAATCACCATCTCTTATGTACGTTTTGTAGACAAAAGCCTTAATTTGACATGTCAGTCAAAGTAAGGGGAATGAAAACAAATACTAATGTGAAAAACGCTAGGAAAAATTGAGGAAATATAATGAAATGAAATGAAATACCTTTATTGTACATTCATGCCACGACGGGCTAGGTACAGGTCAACATATAACAGACACATAACAAACGTATATAGGAAATTGGAGACAAAAGATGCACTACTTGACTTAGACATACATACATAAGGAACATACAAGGGTACTATACTAAGCTAATACAAAGTGTTCCAGTCAGTGAGCTATTATAGAGAGGTCAACTTCTTCTCGCTTTTTTGTACAGTGGAAAATGTGGGAGCAGATCATGTTTGTGATACAGGGTTTGTCTAGACGCATCAAAAATATAAATTTATCATTTGCGCTTAGGTGTTCAAAGTATGGGAACTTCTCTTTGATATAATTAAAAAGGACAGATCTTTCATTAGAATATAAAATATAATCTCAGACGTGTTGAAATTCCAGAAATCCGTACACCGATATAATTTACTCCGAAACTGGGACAGTAGGCCCACAGGAATTGCATAGTTCGTGAAAGGGTGACTCGTAGGTTAATCAAAACAATTCTGCCTTTGCAATGTCAAAGGGAGAGATAAAAGCGTAGTGCTTCCCATCACTGTAATTTCAAAACGCATCAACTGAAATGGAAATGCTATGAAAGGGCGTCCGTTGAGAATGATGGATTTGGCACGGATGCGAGGGTATGTGTTAGACACGTTATGGGAGTTCCAAACACTCCAAGAAAAGATCTAGACGAAGAACGCAATTTGATGCCATGTTTCAATGATGGGAAAGCAAAATCTTTGTCATTGAACCTGGTATTTTTTAGGAAGATGCCGGCGAAATGATTCACCCTCTACTGGTGATTTACATGCCACAGAGCACAGTGGCCCCAGAGCGCCCAATTTTCTCACTACAGCCACTGAAAGAAAGATAGATTCATTCGTGATGAGCAAATGCCCTCCCAAGCGTAAAGAAATGACATCGGGAAGACCGTACGTCAGTTGATTGACTCTATACAGTAAGCATCCCCATGCATCATGAAGCAGAATTATGTAACAGTACCACTACAGTGAAAATGATCTATGTAGTTGGCTTTTACATATAAGATGCTTTTCATAGATTAGTTCATTCCTGAACTGCATATGACGACGAAACAAATGCCCTCTGTACGCCTAGTGACCTTACATTCACCGTTGATTAATGATAGAGTACTGTGGGTTGGTACATTATGGATTGTCTCGTTGATATTGGATGAGTTCTGAACAAACAATTCGGAAGGAACCTCAGATGCCAGTAGCCAAACAGGATGCTATCTTTACGACTACCATGTGATGGATTCCCGGATTACAATTTGCGAAGTTGAGAGTCTGTCAATGCCGAGACATGTTTTCACCGGCGTCAAAGTCCCGTCTACGAGTAATCCCGGTTAAATCCGGCCAGGAATAGAGCGCTTCCAACCGTTTTCATGCGCCGACCCAACTCACAGGTCACATAGGATACCGCTAGAAACAGTCCAACGCAAGCCTACGTCTGACTACGTTCTCAGGCCCCGGCAGAATACTAATTTCACGTTTGGCCTCCACGCCGTGCCCCTATCTTGTATGCATTGCGAGCATTCCGACGCCATTAAGCCGAAGTGCGAGCTCAGAGCTCCAGAGATAGAGCACTGGCGGAATTGTTCATGACGTCAATCTTCCTCATTAACATCGCATTAGAAGGCTGATTACACGACGGGACTCACAGGTAATAAATTTTCCATGAAACTGCCCCCAAAAGCCAGCTGGAAATCAATTTGAAAACGTTCAGAAAGAGGACCGGAAACGGTCTCTTCTCTCTTGTTGAAATGGCGTTCC